AGTATATTGCTTTCTAGCATGAGAAACACTCTAACCTCTGCCTCCTGCACTCTGTCTCTTTACACACTCTCTTCCTTCTATACCCTCTCTCTCTCTCTTTCCCCCCCTCCTTGTCCATACTGTCATCTCTCTACAACCCTAAATCAGCCCTAGAAACCATTTATTCAAGAATAGAGAATGGAGGGGGACGAATGAAGAAAGAATCACAAAAAATAGTCCAATAACCATGTTAAAAAACTAAAGCCTTGAATCAATCATGAACTCTAACAATAAAAAATGATAGTGAGAGGATTGGATAATATTCAAAACAACGAAACCCTAGATAGAAATGTAGGGGAGACCAAGACAAAGAACAATCGTATACTCAAATTATTAAACTGCAAAACAGTCATGGAATCCATTTGATGCATAGGTTAGCATAGATGAGGGAATTAAAGATGTTGGAAATATGCAAATCTCATTTTTTGATGATTACTTAAACAATAGTTTAATGAGGGAAACTTGGAATCCACCGATATTCTTGTATTCCTCCTCTCAATCCACAGATATCTATTCAATTTGCTATGTTTTATCGTAGATTTTACTAGTCTAGTGGGGACAAGTTGGTATACCTCATCATGATCTTCCTCAATGAAAGCTCCATCTATACTTTAAATTCACAATTATTTCCTTCAATTATTTGTCCTTCGAAGCTTCAACTTCTCCATTATAACGCATAATCTCCCTGCTTTGATTTTCTTCAATTTCCTCAGAGCCCATCTCAATGGAAAAGAGACAGAAAGAGGGGGAGGGAGGGAGGGAGGGAGGGAGAGAGAGGGTCACATAGAAAAGGAAGAGAGGGGGAGAGTGCAGGAGGGAAAGAGGGGAGAGAGTCACTAGGAAGCAAAATATTTGTACCTACTTGTTCATTCAAGTTAAAAAAAGTGGATGGTGGGGACTTCTTGAGCACTACCACTGTGTAGCGTTCGGTATCTTTTTCTTATATACTAGTAGATTTATGTGCATTGCACGTACAACTATAATGAGAGACAACAAAAAGAAGAAACAATCATCTTCATCATTTTAGCTTTTTCCCAATTAATTGGGTCCACTGCATGAATTTTGGTTCTCCATTCTGCTCTATTAAAGGCCATATCCTTAATGAGGCCATAAGTCCCCGTATCTTTTGGGATTACTTCTAACCACGTTCTTTTGGGCCTACCTTTTACCCTTTTCAATCTTTCCACTTCAACTAACTTGCACATCCTATCAGGTGCTGTACTTGGTCGGCGCCACACATGG